TAGGGGAAGGGGTCTTTTCCTTTTCAGTCCGCACTCTCTTGTGCTATTTGAATTTTTTCTTTTTAAAATAAAACAAAGAAAGCGACAGTGGGGAGGAGGGTGGAAGTGGGAGGCGGGCCCTGTGGAGGGGTCATCCTCAGTTCAATGCTGGTCATGAAGGCGAGGTCTCAGCCAGGCAAGGAGGCGCCAGGCCGCTGAGTGAACAAAGCTGCCTCCTCCAGGGAACACTGACCCGGTGTCCATGGCGGGGTGACAAATGGCCCTCCTGCCATCACCACGCAGAGCCAGGCTCACGGCTGTGATTCCTGGTCCAGGCTGTCTTCTCCCACAAAAGCTGCTCATGCTGGGGGCGACTTGGAGACAAAGAACAGAAGTGTTCCGAGGGACTCCCTTGCCCAGGGGTAGTGAACACTATTTGAAGTTGAAGAGCACCTTCTTTTCTTAAGACTCCACCTGCCGATGCCCACATGTGCTATAGTCAGCAAATGAGCTTGGGTTTATCGCTGGGCCTGATACCCCACTTCAATGGACAAAGGCATGTCGGAAGCGATGGAGAAAAACCTGTGTCTGTGCAGCCGAGCCCAACCTCTATGCATTTCCACCAAAATGACAGCCCCTACTGTGTGGGGGGCATATAAATCTGAATCGACCAGACTGGAAATGTGAGCTGCGTGAAAGGGCAGACAGCAACACTGATCTGAATCCCTCCAACCCTCAGCCCAGGGAGAGGCCACAGGGCCATTGCAGGTGGTTCTGGGCAACGTTCGTGGGGGCCAAACCAGCCAGTAAAACTATAGCTAATTTTATGGTTTTTCCACCTTTCATAGAGACACAGACAGGTACAGAGAGATGTTTCTGCACTCCAAAGCAGTGGTTCCCAATCTTTGGTTGCATCAGAACCACCTGGAGGGCTTACTGAAACAGGCGCTGGCCCCGCTCCCAGAGTTTTGATTCAGTAGGCCAAGGGTGTGGCCAGAAAATTTGTATTTCTAAGAGGTTCCCCATGACACTGGTGCTGTCTGTGCTTTGGGACCCACAGCTTTAAAGGGAACACACAGCGCAAGCAGTGACAAATGGCCATTCGATCCTCAACTTCAGGTGACGGTGGGGTGAGGACTGTTACCTGAAGAGTGGTACTGGAGAAGGTCCCGTCTAAAGGAAGCAGTATTCCAGAAACCCACACGGTGCCGGGATAAAAGGGCGTCCAGTGTTTTCAGCTCTCTTGATTTTTTTTTTGGGAGGAAGAACAGCCAGAAATATAGATTTTTTATGAAATCTTACAATCTTTGGCAATCATTGGTAACTGACTCTGAAGTTTTTCAAACATTGTTCAAGCCAAACAAAATACATCTGTAGGCTGGATTTCATCCTCTGGCTGCTGTTCTAGAATACAGATAAGGTTCCACGGGAAAGAGGCAGGACCAGAGACCTCTAGCCAGTGAGCCTCTCGCTCTTTGGGGAGCGATGCCAGCCTGGCCACGCCTCTCCCAGCAAGGGCTCCCAGAGATCTGTCGGGCACATCTAGGCTCCCCGTCAGGCCCTCCTGGCTGTCCTCTCCCCCAGCCATGCCCTACACACCAGCCATGCAGACGCCCTTGCGGTCTGTGCCTCTCTCTCCTCCGAAACCCCCTCCCAACCAGGCTTCTCTGACCTCTGGGCCTTTGTGCGTGTGGTTCTCTCTGTCTGGAAGGCTTTTATCCCTTTCTTCACATCTGGTCTACTTTTTACTTGTCCTTCAAGGTCTCCCCTAGCTGTCACCCCCTCCAGGACCTTCCCTGACCACTGCTGCCCCAGTCCCAGCTCTGCTCCTCAGCCCGCTGTGCTCCCATCATGAGCTGGGCTGTAATGGCCTGAACATGCATCTGTCTCCTCCTCTGGCTTGGGCATCCAGGAGGCCTTGCTTCCTCTGTGACCCTGGGGCCAAGCCCAGGGCCTGCTGTGGGATAGCTCTGAAATAATATTTACCAAATGCTGTTCTCTTGGCCTTGGCCTTCCTCTTGGCCCCTTTCTGTTTGCCTGGCTACTTCCTGTCTCTCCTTCAGGCAACAGCTCAGACTCCACTTCCTGGGTGAACCTTCCCTGACCTCCCAGACCAGGGAGGGAGTGCTTCTCTGCCCCCATCCGCACACTGTCTACTACAGTGCTGTGGGCTGCTTTGATCTGCCTCTCCCCACACCAAACTCCGTGACGGCAGGAACCGTGTGCGATTCGTCTGACTAACACAGGGGCTGCAAAGACAGAGTAAGCACCATGAGATGCCCAGAGAGGAAAGAACAAAACAGATGATTGAATGATCCCAAGTGAGAATGAGACCCCTGTGATGTGCTGGGAACAAACCCTTCTGGGCCATTGCTCCCGGCTAGTGTGGGGCAGAAGCTCCCCTCCATTCATAGCATCAGGCCCCAAAGTTGCTATAATTCTATCATCCTGCACTCATCCAGCCGCGCTCTTCAAGGTGGTCCAAAGCTGCACACCACCCAGTGGGCAGCACGGAGAAGGGCTTCTCTGCACTGCAGGGGACCAGGGGAAGGTGGGAGAGGAGCAGTGGTGTCGTCCCACCACCCAATAGGCCGTGACAGGTGAGTAAGTGGCTGTGTACTTGGGGCCTCCCTGAGTCCTGGAGAGTGACAGTGACTATGAGTCCCGGCCCAGTTTCAACTAGTTTGTCCAGCTGCTAGGCTGCATTGTCTGCTCACCTACCATGGACCCGATGCTGACCTTGAGAAGAGAAGGTGGCCATTGACCCTTCCTTTGTATCCCAAATCCTCTCCTCCACCTCCCCCGCTCCCTGCCCCATACCCCCACTGCTCTTTGCTCTTTTCATTTACAATTAAGTACAAAAGTCATCTCCCCCAGAAATCCTGGGATCCCCTCCTCTGGGTGCTCACAATTCCCCATCCCCCACCCCGTGCTTTCCTTTGTTGTGCTGTGTTGTTGCTGTTCCTGTGTCTGTCTCTGCCAGAAAGACTGAGTTCCTGGACATCGGGGACTGTGACTTGCGTTACTGTACTGTGCCTGGTGTGGTGACCAGCGCGTGAGGGACGCAGCGCGTGCGGAGCACTGGTTAATTCAAATCCTCCCTCTGCCACATACTGAACCTCCCCAAGGTCACACAGTAAGAAATCTTGCCTCGATTTTCTTACCTGTAAAATGGGGTTGGAAAGGGTGTTGTGAAGATTGAGTTAATGTAAAATTTGAACAGTACCTGGTACATAGTAAGCACTGGGTGAGCACAGTATTCGCTAGTATTATTGGGTGATCAATAAATGTTACATGTGTTAATGGATGAGGGAAGGAATGAAAGAGTGAAGATAATTAGCCAAGTACAAGCTAGCACATTCCAGGATCGCAGTGACCCAAAATGAAGAGATGTTTGATGTGTTCTGTGAGTTCCCCAAGAGTGAGCTGGGGCTGAGGGCTGTTCTCATGGAGCAGTGTTCCCTGTAGTGGGCTGGGGGACAGGTCCTGGGCAGTAATGAGAAAGGCAGACCCTGTCTGAAGGTCTCTGTTCCCATCATGAGCCTCTCCTGCAGATTAAGAGGCCTTGAGACTTTTAAAGGCCCAACCTGACATTTCCCTACAACAATAGCATGCTCTCCCACCAGTGGTCCCTCTAAGGCACTCCCTGCTGACTCCCCCTCCTTCCCATCATTCCAGACAGCAGACTCACATACCAGTCCTGACTGCCTTCAGATGGATAAACAAGGTGGGGGATGAGTCACCCAGGCCCGGGCTCCTCATTCACAGACCCTGGCACCCCTTCAACCACAGTTCTGACAAACCTCAGCTAACTGGTTTCTACAAAGGCTACCAGCAGGGGAGTGTGGCAGGGAGTGGCAGTGTGTGCCTCAATGTCAGAAGGCCTCGGGTTCAAGTTCCATCTCTTGCAAGTCTCTTCCTTCCCCTGAGCCTCAGTCACCACATAATGTGGGGTTACTTATCCCTGCCTCACTGGGCTGCGGTGTAAAAGGACCGGCACAGTGCAGGGCACACTGCAGATCAGTGTAAAGAGCCTTGGTGAAGAAGGGACGGGCTGGCAAGGACCTGTCAATAAGCAAGGCTGCTCTGGGCTGAGCATAAGCCAGGTCTGGATCCAAGTCCACAGAAAGGAGAACGGGAGTGCCCTGACCTCCCAGCAACCCGAGAATGTGGATGGAGGCCTGGGGCTGACCTTCGGGAGTCTGCTGTGGTAGCACTAATTGGGGTGTCCCCGGTCACCAGCTTCCCACCCTTGGGGGAGGGGAGGCTTATGCTGCTTCCCTCCCCCACTGCTGCTTCCTCTGGCCTGGGCTGCAGGGGCACTGACCTACTGAGTGGGTGTTGGCGGTGAGGTTCAAAGGAAGCTCAGGGGAGAGTGGATGACAGGGTGGGCCAGGGAATGGCCAGGAGCCAAATCCCAGCTTTGGGGCAAGGATGGGCGGGCCAGAGTGCTTCCAGCAGAGACCAAAGGGCTCCCAGCTTCCTAGAGTGACTAGGTCACACTAGGTCATATAGGAGGTTTACACTTCAATGGGACTCCCTGTGTTTCTTCATTGTTTCTTTCTTTCTTCCTTTTTCCCCCACCAGCTCACAGTCAGCCAGAGGAGAGTAGAGTCTACAGACTTGCTTGGAATTCCAGCCCAGCCCCTCCCTAGCTGTGCTACTCTGGACATTAATTCATCTCTTTGAGACTGTTTCTTCATCTGTAAAATGGGCGTGCTCATATCTTCCTCAAAGGTTGTGTGAGGCTTAAGTGAAGTCATGTGTATGACGTGCCTGGCAGAGTGCCTGGGCATAGTGGAGAATCAACCAATCGCAGCCTTCATAACTATTACCATCCGGTTTGGACGGAGCAGGGTGCTTGATGAGTCCGTGCTGCCTACCGTGGGGGCCGGGAGTGAGACTTTTCCAGGCACCCCCTCCCCACCAACACAAGGGCCCTTGCTCCCTCACAGAGGAACTAGTCCAGCCCTTGGTCACGCCCCCTGGGCAGGAGACACCGGGGGCACGGGAATCCTCACCATGCACTTGCGGTCATCTATGCCGGTCAGATCCTCCTCAAACTCCTTCCCGACCTGGAAGTCCATGATGTAGTTCCTAAACGTGCTCAGCGTGCGGATGATCATATGGTCGCCGTCCTGCAAGATCTCTTTGTCTGGCTTCAGCAAGTTGGCGATCTTGCGCAAGGCCACATTGACATCTGCACGGGGTGCGGGGCCAGAGAGGGGCAGAGAGTTGACAGGAAAACTCAGAGAACTGTTCCCAAGACAGCGGGGCCCCAGAAGCCCGCTCCGCCCAACACTGCTGGGGTTTCCGCTGGCTTTGCGCCGTCTCTGCGCGCAGCCTGTGCTTTTTTAAAAAAATTTTTTTTGTAACAAAGTTTTCTGCCCTTATGTTAATCTTTTCAAAACTTAAAACTAGCAAAGCAAGCCCAGCTTTACTAATGAAATTACCCTCGTCCAGAGCCAACTAGCAGATATTGGCCACTAATTAACCCAAAAAACCCCGGATCGCCCAATGCGCAGCCTGCCGGCCACCCTCGGAGCGGTGGTCGAGGACGCCCTTTGGCGCCCGAGCGCAGCAGGCGCGGCAGGAGGCGGCTCGGGCGGGCGCCGGGGAGGGGCGCCCCTAGCCGGAGCCCCGAGCCCGGCGCGGCGGGCAGCGCTTACCGAGCGCGCGCAGGTACTCCTCGAAATTCTCGTTGGCCAGCATCTTCCAGTACCCGGTGAAGTCGACGGGCATTTTGGGCAGTGACCCGTGCCAGTCCGCCACGGAGCGGGAAGGAGCGGCTCTGGGCTCTGCAGGGGAAGCGGCTGCGGCTGCGATCCGGGTGGTGGGCGGCCCGAAAACGCGCGCCCTCCCGGGACTGGGGGCTCCGCGGGGCGGCGACAGCTGGATTCCGAGCGCGCACAAAGCCCGCGGGAGGATCCATTGTAGCCGTCGCTCCTCCCCCCTGCGAGGGGCGGGGCGGGGGCGGGGATGTTAGAAGGCCAGGTTTGTCCTTGGCCGGCGGCCACCTTCTGTCAGATCTGGAGTTCGCTTCCTCTATAAAGGAAGAGGAGATGATGGGAGTTAGGGAGTTGCTTTGTGGGACCCCAGCTCTTCGGTTCCTGAGGAATTCCTTCGAATGCCATGAACTTCTCACACTCCGCGGCCACTTGAGGCTTGGGAAGAGTCTTCTCGGGTGTGCTGGAGTGATTAGGGAAAGAGGCCACTTATGGGCCTTTGTCTAAAGCCGGGCTCAGCTCCGGCTTGAAGTGCATATGACTAAACAAGCCCTCTGCGTGACTCTGATGCACAATCGAGTTAGAGACCCACTGCTTTATGCAAATGTGAGCAATTACTAATATACTGCTTATTAATTATGCCTCCCCTTTCACCTAACGGCAGCACAGTACTCCGCAGTGTTCTGCACTTTGCTTTTTCACTCAAGGTATTCTGCAGACCTTTCTACATCTGTATATGGAGAGTATCCCCATTCTTTTGCAAGGTATTCCATTATTTGTCCAGCTTGTCCCCTACCGATGGCCGTTTGTGTGGTTTCTGATCCTTCACCATTAGAAACAGTACTGCCATGAAGATCTCTGATCACATCTCATTTGCCACCTGTGTGGTTATGTCATAGAGCTTTCAAATGGCTGTCTTTGCCACCAAGGAGATGACATAATTACGTGGGTTGACTTTTTGACCCTCTATTAAAGACTATCTCTTAAATTGCTTTTTGCGCAAATCACAGCCTAGGTGACAGCAGGTACATGTTCTTCCTCTCTAGCGCTACCTTCCCCAGCACGCCCTCCCCCTCTCCACCTCCCTGGGGCTCAGGTTAGTGTTCACAGTGCATTTGGCTGAATTAGGAAAAGATGCCTTTTCCTCAGGGTAGAGGCGGCTTCCTCCCAAGAAGTGGCTTGGATTTTAGCCTCTCTCACTCCCTTGTATCTTCACCAGGGTTTCTTGTCTTGCTGCTATTGATGTTTTGCGCTAGATAATTCTTTGTTATGGGGGGGGCTGTCCAATGTATTGTAGGATGTTTAGTGGCATTCCTGGCCTCTACCCACTAGATCCCAGTGGCACCCCACAAAGATGTCTCCAGACATTGTGAAATGCCCCACGTGGTGGGGAGGGGAATCACCCCTGTTTGAGAGGCTCTGCTCTAGACGGCCATACCTGGCAGCAGGCCCATTTCCCTCTGCTCCTTCGTCTGGCTCTGGGGTGCTCAGGCCGTCAGTTGTTCACACAGGCACTGGCTCTGTGTCCCTCTCTAGCCAGTCCAGGCCTCATCTTGGTGGGGCAGCCAGTGCAGCCCGTATCAGTCCTCCCCAACCTGAAGGTGCAACAAGACACCTCTGAGTTTCAGTCAGAGGGATGGATGGAGCCTGGCCTGGCCTGGGCTTCCTTGTTATCCTGACTCACCAGAATGGAACATCAGCCAAAGCCTTAAACAGTGAACTGGCCACTCTTTGGTCACCCCTAACTAGTCTAAATTCTTCTCCCTGCTCTCTGGTGCCATTCGGCTCAGCCAACAGGATTTCTTACCCTCCTCAATCTTCTCCCTTTGTGCTGAGTCTCCTGAGATAGTTTATGCCAAATGCCCAGCACCGTGCCTGGCACACAGCAGGGCACAGTCCGGCCCTCTGCCCTGCCCAGAGTGGCTCTTTATGCTCCAGGCAGAGGCCTGCCCCTCCTCCCACCTCTCCATCTGGCCATTCCTCCCTCTTCTGACCACTTTGGACATCTCCTGCTCACGTGACCTCGCTCTCCTGAGCTGGTTGGCTGAGTACATAGCACTTAATTCAGCTGGTTTTGCTGAGTTTCTGTCTGCCTCTTTGTCTAGTCCCCCAAATGGGTCAGTGTACTCCTGCCCTTCTGGGCCTGCACCCAGGAAGGGTCTCCCAGGTGCAGCCCTGGTGGCTGTGCTATTTCTTCCAGCTGGGGGTGGGTTCCATGTGTAGGCTGTAGAGGCAGAATGCCTGGTCTGACACCGGCTGTGTCACTGAAGAGCTGAGTGATCTTGGGAAAGTTATTTAGCCTTTTGTGCCTCAGTTACCACATCTGTAACATGGGGACAGTCTCACTACCTACCTTTCAGGGTGGTGAGAAGCAAAGGAAATAAGGAATCTATGGAATGTGGCACAGAGTACTGCTCCAGATCTACTGCTGTTTGAGCTGGGGGAGCTTTAGAAGTGAGAGAAAAGGCAAGGGAGAGAATGTCGCTGGTCTGTGCCCCTTCTGGGGCTTTAAGACCAATCTGATGAGTTGGAAAGGAAAGTGCTCTGAGGAAGCCTCGGGTATATCATGGCTGTCCTTCCTCAGCCCACTCTGTTATGCTCGATTTGATTCATTAATCAGTAAGTATTTTTTGGAGCTCCTTGCTGTGTGGGATGATATTAGTTGGAATGTGGAATGTGTAAAGCAAAGAAAGAGCAACCGAGGACAGTATGTAAAGAAGAGGGAGGGGTCTGTGTGAGGCTGGCAATCAGTGAGGGCTCCCTGGAGTGGGTGAGGCTGTAGCTGGATCTTGAGGACAGCTGGAATCACAGAGGTAAGGAGGAGGCGGGGATAGTGCAGAGGAAGGAGGAGATAGGTGAACAAAGAAACACAAAAGGAAGGGGCAGACTTGTTAATGACTGAGAGGGAGAGAGGTAAATACACTAGGACACCCCTAATGGGCCTTGTTCCATTCACTAGCTTTAAAGAAGGGCAGTGGACATCCATGACCAATTCTTGGAAGCCCAAAGAGCCACCAAGACCACAAAGAACTGCCAGGCCAGTGGGGGAACTATTCTGTGTGTGTGTGCATAGTGGGTCAGACAGGTAGGATGAGCAATCTTGGGTTGGGGAGGGGAGGAAGAAGAGGACAGAGCCAAGGGTGGGCTCTTGGGTCAGGGGGTGCTCAGTGACACTCCAGGAGCTTCCTTGGAGGTTAGGGAGGAAATGTGCCTTTTCAGTCTTTAGCTGATCTGTGGACTCCACAGGAATAAATTAGAGCTCAAGGCCATATGTCCATGAATGATTCCTCGATTGCCTGCTTGTGAGGTGGGCAGCACTACGCCTGCGTCACTGCAGATCAAGCAGCTTGCCAGGGCCCCCAGTTGCTGGGGTAGCAGAGCTTCCTGTGGGCAATGGGGTTGTTGCAGGGAGCCCTAGGACAGACCCTGCAGCTTGGTCCCTTACCAGAAGATGCTCCTCTCAAGACACTGAGGCAGGGAGTGACTTCCAGCCTCCTCCTGCTCTCTCTACCAGGTCTGCCACACCACTCACTCCTAGTAGGGGACAGGTGGCCTGGTGCTTCTGCCTCATAAGAGAACCTTCCTCATCCTGCTGCACTAGCTCTGACACCGTGTCCCTGCTTCTCTTCTCAAGGGCTCATTTTATCTTGGAGACTTGTAAGATCTCTTGTCCTGTACTCCATTGTGTCTCTGGAGTTCTGCTATGGAGAATAACCCCACTCCAGTCTTTGAGCTATTGCCATGCCATCTGTGAGGTTAATGTCTGAAAGGGTGAGAATGGCCCAACAATGTAGGCCCAAATGCCCTACTGTGTTGAGGAGTGAGAAGGCTTGTCAAGAGGCCACAGGGGCTGAGGGGCACTGAGGTCTACTGAGGACACTCTTCTTTGATGGGCTCATGAATATTCAAACATGCAAATGACACACCATGTCTACCAGCCCCAGAATCTTAAGCCCACTTTGGAGGGTGGCCTGGGGATTTATTTCTGTGCAGAAAATGGTTCTGCAGAGTGGTCAGCTACCTTCCATCTGACTCCCTAATCCATTACTTGACAATTATTCCTACAGATTCTGACATACCCTGCAAGGGAAGGGTTTCTTTCTTTTACTTTCTCTCTTTCTCCCCCTCTTCTTTCTCTTTCGATTATTTTATTATGCAAAATTTTAAACCTGTATCAATTTAGAGAGAATAGTATATTGACCACCATGGCTTCATTCTCCAGCTTCAACAATTATCAGTATTAACCCACAGCCAATCTTGTTTCATCTATATTTCTGCCTACCCTACAATTTCCAAAATTATTTTGAGGCAAATACCAGATACCATATTATTTCATTTGGGGACATTTTGAAAAATATCTATAAAAGATAAGGACTCTTATTTTTAAAGCTTCAAACAACATGAATTTATTATCTACAATTCTGAAGGTCAGAATTCTCATAATGGGTCTCATGGACGACAGTAAAGGTGTTGGCAGAATTGTGTTCCCTCTGGAGACTCTATGGAAAAATTCATTCCTTGCCTTTTCCAGCTTCTAGATGCCACCCACATTCCCTGGCTCATGGCCACACCATTCTGACTATTGCTTCCTTCTTTTCTTGTTTGAGACAAAGAGTGTCACTCTGTTGCCCCAGGTAGAGTGCAGTGGCATGATCGTAGCTCACTGCAACCTCCAACTTCTGGCTCAAGTGATCCTCCTGCCTCAGCCTCCCAGGTAGCTGGGACTACAGGTGGGTGCCACAATGCCCTGCTAATTTTTCTATTTTTAGTAGAGATAGGGTCTCTATCTTGCCCAGGCTGGTCTCAAACTCCTGAGCTCAAGCAATCCTCCTGCCTTGGCCTTCCAGAGTGGTAGGATTACAGGTGTGAACCACCATGCCTGGCCTATTGTTTCCTTCTTAAATCTTCTCTGACTCTCTTGCCTTTTGTATTATATAAGGACCCATGTGATTGCATTGGCCCACTCAGATAATCCGGGATAATCTCCCCATCTATAGATCTTTAATATAATCATACCTGCAAAACCCCCTTTTCCATAAAAGGTAACATATTCATAGGGTTTGAGATTAGGACATGGACACAGGGTCATTATTCCACATCAAGGAACAAGAAAAATCTCATTCCAGTAATAAAAATATGTCAGTCAAGATAATAAGCAAGACCGTAATGTGATCCCCAAATTCTTTCTCCCTCAGTTTATGACTTTGGGTTGAAAACCTGCAGGAAATCATTTCTCTATGTTTTGGTCCTCTTCTGTTACCTAGAAAGCTGGGCCTTTTTAAATTTAATTTTTAATTTTTTATTCCTCCTATACCA